TGTCAACTGCAGTTGAATCTTTAACAAAACCAGAAAAAAGAAAGTATTTTTAAAGGCCAGATTGGTTTCAGTGTTGGGAAAACAGTAATTGCACTACCTACAAAAAGTAATCCATATTACAATGATATTACAATGTAAAATGAGTGCTGTAGGAAAGTACGGTCCTGTGGTACAGGGGAATACAGTGGAAAAATACTGAACGATACACAGCTATGCACCCATAGTAGGACTTTCCAGCTCACCTGAAATATTATTTGAGATGGCATGGCTCTCCTGGGACAAAATGAACTGTACTTATGAGTAATGCATACAGTTCTCAGAAAGCACTAAATCACATTTCTTATGGGTAACTGATGCAGTTCTTTGCCCAATAAACAAACTGCTGTTCCACCATTAGACTTCTCAAATAGCAAGTTCTGCCATGGAAACTGCATGGAAATAACCGACGGATTTTAAAAAAGGAATGATTCTTTCCCCTGTAGATGCAAAATGCCACTCAAAAAGCAAATCTGAATGATGACAAAAATCCTCAGTCTTCTGAGTATTCACAGCCCATATTACAACACTACTGCAATCTCTGCTTTTAGTTGTGCTGAAGTGCAAGGTACAACTGAAGCACAAGAAAGACAAAAGGCTGAATGCATGTTCTGAATCAGTCCTAAGAGGTGATCCAGGGTCTTGAAAGTTCTCTATACCTGGAATCTTCTCTGAAATAACCTGGAGTTTCACGCAATGTGCAAACATAACCAAACTGTGTTTAATGGGAAAATGACTGATACAGCTGGTCATCCTTCAAACTGAGTGCGTGGCATTCCCCAGAGCTGTCAAGTCAATACAAGAACAGTGGAATAACATGTTGCATTTAACAAAAAGGAGCATAAACAAGATATAACTATATCGTATAATAAAAATCATCTGTTTTGTAGCCTCAGGGTGAAATAAAGCAGCTGCCCAACAAAGCTTCCAATGTAAAGCTGCATGTGAAAATTCCTGCAGCAAACTGAAATTTCATGGGAAACGTAGGTAGGAACCCAAATGTAAGTACCCAAGGTGAAATTTAGCCCTGACAAGACATTTAGTCCAATGACTAATATCCAAAATATGGTTAAAAGGCATAAAATAGTGCTGTGTAACTGAAACACAGATTTAGCTGCGCCACTGTGGCATGGCCTCTTGCCACACACCTCTGTAGCCACCATAAACAGGGCTTCCACCTGTGGTAGGGGTGGCTCTGTTACTGAAGCGAATAGCTGCATTTACCACAGTATTCCAGTTGTGGGGCAGCATCTTAGTTAATTATCCCATGCAAAGCTTAGGACAAGGGGAGATGTGCTACTCTGGCAGCCGATGAGTGCATTCAGAGTGGTGCTGGGTTTTCCCACATTGCACCAGACCGTGCTGTGTAGAAATAATTCTCTGGCCCTTGTAACGCCAGTTCTTGAGGGAAGCCAAAGGGTCATAAAAGTCATGAGAGTAACGGATCACAATCATTATCTCATCTGACCTCCTGAATATCTCAGCCATTCTATTTTTCTTCAGAAGTTACATCAAAGCAAGCCTTTTAGAAAGACCTCTAATTTTTGTTAAGTTTTCAAGCAACAGTAATTGGTCCCTATGTTATCCTTATTGTTATAGTACACCTTATTCAAGGCTGAATGTGTTAAACTTCCAGTCACAGGATCACCTTATGTCATAAGACTATAAAGACTATAAATCCCTCCACTATTACGCCTCTTCCATACACGTTACACACCGTGATTCAGTTCCTTCTTACCCTTTTCTTTGATAAGCTTTGACGGAGGTCCTTAAACCTCACGTCAAAGCTAATCTCCCATCTTGAAAGGTAAACACCAGGTCTGGACACAGTATTCCAGCCAGTTGTTTTATGGATGCTAAGTACACAAGAAAGATCATTTCCCTAGTAGTATTTGCTATTCCTTCTCTATATATTCAAGGATTGCATTAGCCCTTTGGGCAACATCACACCAAGAACTTAGGCTGAGCCTGCTATATAAGAACACCCCTCCCCAAAACAATCTCCAGACCTGGAAGTAACCATTGCGTTCTTCGTCGCTTGCTTGCAGCACTATTAAAACACATTATTTTTTAAATGTAACAATTTAATCCAGCTATTCAGATAATTCGTACCAGTAATTTGGACAGTTTACTCCAGAACCATAGAATAATTCAGATTGAAAAGGACCTGAAAAATATCCAGTCCAACCTCTTGCTCAAAGCCGGGCTAACTTCACAGTAAGAGCAGGTTGCCCAGGTCCTTTACAGTCAGGTTTGAAAATCTTGAAGGATGGAGATTTCACAGCGTCTCTGGACAACATCTTTCAAGGTTTACCCACTTTCATGGTGATTTTTTTTTTATAACCTGTGTACTCTAAAAGCATAGCCACTGAAGCCTTTATATCGACATTTTAGATCTTTGAAAAAAATACTAGATTTTGTGTAAATATTTAGCCAGAAAAAGTCTACAGGCATATTATTACCAATAGCCTTGTTCACTGGCACCTGACCACTGACTACATGTCAAAGATGTGTCAGTAAGCCAGTTTCCAGTCCATACGATATAGAATCTGTTAATTCAGTCTAGTTTCATTGGTTTAGTAAACATCATGTGATATTGAATTAAAAGCTCCGATACAGCCCAGGGAATCAACAAGAAGACTGAGAGTCAGACCAGTTGCTTCTGTCTAAAAAGATCCACCTTCCAAGACGCCAGGCTAGCTGGCACTCATTCTTTTTGACTGCTAACTTTTGCTATTAGAGTCCACTGTTTCTCCTGGGAGTTGGCAAAGTGAGAGCTACTGCACAGCTCCCTGCCCCATTCCACCCCCTTTCTCCAGCTGCTGAATTCAGCTGGACAACTTCTGCAGTTTTCCCAGTTCAGCCGTTTAAAGTATTCCTCAGCTAGGTCTTTAACGTTCTTGAGCATTAACTATGCAGCTATGCTGATTAGGAAATGTTTAATTTCAGCAAATGCTGCTTTTCATCTTCCTTGACTGCAGCTAATACTCCCATTCAAGTCTCTCATCCAAGTGGCAATTAGCCCCTGTGGCAGAGCACACGAAATCTGACCAGCGGTAGATAAAAAAGGATAAGCCCAGAATAAGCTTATTGCTTTCCACAGGCACCCTGCTCAAGCCCAAACATTGATTTTTCTAAAGTTGTATGTTTTAAAAAGTTATGTATTTGGCATTAACGCTACATATTTATTGGTGGAAAAGTTACTGTTATAACTGTATTTTGCTTCAAAACATCTGTTTGCAAGATGGCCATTTAAAAGAGCAAGTCTGAGGGTTATGAAGTTCTGTATGGAAAGCAACTTGGTTGGCTAATTAACTTGGCGCCTTGCTTTTAATATTATTTAAACACACTTTTAGATTTGTAATAGAATTTTTTCAAGTGTCATAACAGTTTGAGAGTTGTCTCATTAGGCTGTTATAGCTCCAAATGTGTACTTCTTCTCTGTTCAGGACTATGAATCCAATATACAGTAAAGTGACTACTTAAGAGGAGCTGTTACACTTTATGTCAATCCAGCTGCTATGCAAGTACATAAAATCTGCATAATAAAAATCCTTATGTTAATTTTGATTTTTAAAACTGACTGCTTGCCAGGAACTGATTTCTTGACTTTGATGTTTTAGCCAATTGAAACATTTTCTTGTCAAGATACCCAAATGGGCTACTGTTTATTGTTTATTAATTAGACAAAATTGTGCTGAATTCATTTATCAGAAGAAGTGGGTGGCTCATATATATTATTTAAACTTCTCTAATTTTAGAACGGCCGAACATATTTTTAATCTGCTCTGAAAACTTTTAACGGCAAAATTCCCACAGCTTCCCTAATTAACTATACTAGTGCTTAAATACCCTTGCAGTTGAAAGCTTTTATTGATGTGCAACCTTGAACTGCTGTACTTTCAAGTCCCCCATGGTTTGTCAGATCCCGGTGAGTGAGGAGAACAGTGCTACCTTCCCCTTCGGAGTGACGCTCCACCCCGTCCCAGCGCTCCTTGGGCAAACACAAGACGGCAGGTACTACAGAGGGCCATAGCTAAAGAGGACACCATTCTTCACTCAGTCATTCCTCTACACCGTTGTCCACCATAGGGAAGGCAGCAGAAACTCTGTGGGACTCTGCCACGCTGCCACACCTTTCTCGGACAGCAGCTGACCAGGTTCCTTTGACTTCATGTGAACGACGAGGGTAGACAACCAGCGCGCTGCCAGCAAACCTCGCAGAGCTCCAGTGTGAAACACCACCTTCATGGCTGGACTTCTGCGCAGGCCTCCAAGCTCACACAAGCTGCAGCTGATCCGTGAGAGGCGGCCGCCA